TAGTCGTAGTAGTAGTAGTAGTAGCAGTAGTAGTAGTAGTAATAGTAGTAGTAGTAGTAGTAGTAGTAGTAGTAGTAGTAGTAGTAGTAGTTCGTAGTAGTAGTAGTAGTAGTAGTAGTAGTAGTAGTAGTAGTAGTAGTAGTAGTGGTAGTAGTAGTAGTAGTAGTAGTAGTAGTAGTAGAAGTCGTAGTCGTAGTCGTAGTCGTAGTAGTAGTAGTAGTAGTAGTAGTAGTAGTAGTAGTAGTAGTAGTAGTAGTAGTAGTAGTAGTAGTAGTAGTAGTAGTGGTAGTAGTAGTAGTAGTAGTAGTAGTAGTAGTAGTAGTAGTAGTAGTAGTAGTAGTTAGTAGTAGTTAGTAGTAGTTAGTAGTAGTTAGTAGTAGTAGTAGTAGTTAGTAGTAGTAGTAGTAGTAGTAGTAGTAGTAGTAGTAGTAGTAGTAGTAGTAGTAGTAGTAGTAGTAGGGGTAGTGGTAGTAGTAGTATGTAGTAGTAGTAGCAGTAGTAGTAGTAGTAGTAGTAGTAGTAGTAGTAGTAGTAGTAGTAGTAGTAGTAGTAGTAGTAGTAGTAGTAGTAGTAGTAGTTAGTAGTAGTAGTAGTAGTAGTAGTAGTAGTAGTAGTAGTAGTAGTAGTAGTAGTAGTAGTAGTAGTAGTAGTAGTAGTAGTAGTAGTAGTAGTAGTAGTAGTAGTAGTAGTAGTAGTAGTAGTAGTAGTCGTAGTAGTCGTCGTCGTAGTAGAAACAGTAATCCGTCTCGGGCGGCGCCGTCCCGCAGCCACGGCGCCTTGGCGAAGTGGCCTGGCTCCGCAGAGCCAAGGCCCTCGGCAGGATGGACCCTGCCCCACGAGCAGGGGCAGTGACGTGAACATGAGCTTTCGGAGGTCCGCGCGGATGTCTCGGATCGGCGCCAGGAGGGGGGGGGATCCCGCGCGGGTCCGAGAGATCCGCGCGGACCTCCGACAGTTTGTGTTTGCGTCACTGCTTGTTCCCCCAGCCTCGTCGGGCAGCAGCGGGAGAGCCACAGAGGGGGGGACCATGGCCTGGAGGGAGGTCTGGAATACAGATTCTTGCAGTCGGGCGCTGCTTCATGGCGGGGGCGATCAATTGGGTGGGGTGGGGGGGGGAAAGACGTGCACCTTTCGTGCATCTTTGGGCCCCAAAGGTGCACCCTTCCTCAACTCCCCCCGTGCATCGCCCCCCCGTTACGCAACGCCCGATGCAAGCAACTCTGGGCAGGACCGGCTCGAAAACAAACAGTGGCGAGGTGTGCTTACGCTCCGCCGGCGGGCTCCATCGAGGGCGGGTGGTCGAGTATGAGGTCATCACGCGTGCGGCTCAGGACGCGTTCCAGGAATTCTCGATCATCTGGCGGCCCTCGACTCCCGAGTCGGCGCCAAACGACAAGAGAATCTGAAAACCTCGGATCGCCTCTGCTCCTCTGCTCCTTATGAGAGGGGCATCTCACCCGCACACCGCGAGAAGCTCGGAACCGGGCTCGTGCCGGCCGGCCACTTCCGCCTGCTAATCGCTGGGCTCCCTGCGTCAACACCGCCGGGAGAGCAGGACAGTCCGCGCAAAACACGGAAACGCAAGCCTACAAGTGCTGGTGGAAGATGCAATGGGCGGCGGGACTGCTGACAACTCCTACCATGGGGTCACGGGCTCCACCTCGGTCGTCGAGCCATACCAGGGTGACGAGTCCGCCGCGCACATGGCATACCGTAAGGCCATAGGGTAACACGCCCACGTGCACCTCATTCCATAAGCTAACATGTCCCAGCTTGGGACCGCGTGGACGTGCGCACAGGGGCGCTGCAGGAGCCAACGCTGGGCGATGCGACCTGCACCTTCATCACGGGCGAGGCTGCACTCTGGGACAGCCTGGCATGCGCAGGCAACACCGAACTGCCATGCAAGCTCCCGCACTGGCGAGGAGGGACGCAGGCCCACGACGCCGCCGACACCAAGCACGGGCGGGCCGCACCCGCCGCAGGTCCGAGCGCTGACCGCTTCCCCTTTTGGAGGCCAATTGGAGGCCCAACGGGGAGACCGTGGCGCGTGTGTGCGGTCCAGGGGGCACGACTCGGAGGGCGCCGTTGAGACAACGGCAGCTCAAACTCGGTCCCCTCACTCCTCCCGGGGTCCAGCCTCAGCGGATTCCCGAGCGGCGTCCAGCCGTGGTGACGAGGGGGCCCCCCCTGGAAGGCCAACTGCCGCTGCATCGCCTGGCCCTCCTCGGAACGGCATGGACCCCGCACGTGGGAGGAGCCCTGCCCGGCCTGCGTGGCGACCGCGGCGCCACCCGAGCTGGCGCCCTGGGTGCGCAGTGGGCAGCCTTCCCGTCCTGGCCAGGGGCGCCGCCCGGCCCAGCGCCTCGGCAGGCCCAGGGCCTCCCCCCTCGCCGCGGCGGGGCGGCTCCGGCGCCGCGTCGGTGGCGCCGTGGCTCGGGCGGGCGCGGAGGAGTCTGCCTGGAAGGGTGCGCACCTCCGACGGCGACCACGGAGCCGCCGCTCCAGGCGGTGCGCCGACGGAGGGCCCGGCGGCAAACCGGGTGCACCCCGCGGCCCGGCGGAGAGCGGCGCCGCCGAGGCGGGCGGTCCAGCTGCCGCCCGCGCTCCCGCACTACCGCGGCCGCCTCCGCCATCGCTGCGGCACTGCCACCGCTGCTCAAGTGAAGACAATACCAAGCAGGACGATGGCAGCACTCCGATGCAATTATGTTGTCAGTACTGGGCTGATGTCTCGTCCCTTGCGGGACTCGTCTGAGCCAAACTGACTGCTGATCATATACATGCAAAGGCAGAAGCCATCGAAGCATTGCTCCAACATGTGCTAAAACGACGGCTCCACAACCACCAACACCAACACGTGGGCTGCTGCGCTGTAAGCCCGCCTCACACGCTGGCCCCGCAGCCACGACCCCCGCACCGACTGTGACCACAACCAAGCCGATTCCCGCGAATGAGACGAACCACGGCCTCAGCAGATTTCGATATGCCGCCGGCTGGCCCCCCCGACCGACCCCTCTCTACTTTCTGGTCCCGCCCTCTCTGCTCCACCACTGCCACAACCACCGCCATCACCAGCACTGCCACTACAAAAGCCACTACCGCTCACGCCACCACCACCGCCGCCACCAACTGAGGGAGTGGCCACAAACTCTGGCAGCCTCTGGCCACGCCCAGCGACGGACAACCGGCGACGGTCGCCTGACGCCTGCTGCCGAACCGCCGATGGTCACACCCAACCCACGGCTCCACTGTGCCCGTAACCTGACATACCTGGAACTCGCTTTGCATGTAACATCTGAACGGCCTGGCTTCGGCAGAGCGATGCCGATGAGGATGACGAGGAGAACAGCAGGAGGAGCTTGACTGCAAGAACCAGGGCGAGGCTTCGGAGATGGATACTCGGAGGGAGATGGGGATGTTGAAACGTGCCTGACGAACCGGAACGTGTGGCAGTGACTTACTGGCGCGGCCCGGTTGCCGCACGCACCGATGGCGGGCCCAGGCTGGGCCTGGACAGTTTGGGTGCAGGGGTGCATTCGGGCATCCCCCCCCCCCATCCTCCAGCTCCTCCTCTTCCTCCTCCTCCTCCTCCTCCTCCTCCTCCTCCTCCTCCCACTCCTCCTCCAACAGGCGAGGCAGGAAGAGCCCGTACTCTGGTTGGACAGGATGCCCTCGCGACCTGCAGCAGGCTGGCACGCGCGCGCAAAACTTGAGATCTCGGAGGACGAGTCCTCCCAGAGCCAAGGCGCTCGCCAACGCTCTTGCGGCTGTGCCGGCTGCCGCCACCTCGCCCCGGCAAGCCTCTCACCCCGCTCGGCGTAGACCCCCTTCTCCCACTCCAGCTCTCAAGCAGGCTCCAGCATGCCTTTCTGATGGAGGTGGGGTACAGAGGACCAGGAGGAGAAGGAGTACGACGACAATGAGCAGGAAGGCACAGCACGAGGCAGCAACAGGGGAATTAGGGAGATCAGGAGCAGGAGAACAGAGAGCTTCGAAAGATATTCTCGCCGTGCAGCGTAGAACTCCCTCGTCTCGCTCCAGCTCCCAGGCAGACCCGCGCGCCTTCCTGCTGGAGGTGACGCAGATTGAGGCCGACGGCGACGAACAGTCAGAACACATCGGAGGACGAGGAGCAGGAGTAAGATCAGGAAGAAGCCTTACAAGAGAAGGATAACAATGATTAAGATGAGGAGAAAGAGACGCAAAGGAGCAGCAGAGGTGGAGGCGACAAGACGAAACGAGACCAGACGAGGAGGACGAATGAGAACAAAGGGACAGGAAGACGAGGATGGGTAGCAACACGGGATGCGTTAAGGGGGGGGCGGATGAGCCACCGAAGAGAAGGCGAGGCGAGATCGAGCGAGGTAGGATCAGGATGACGATGGAGGAGCACGGAGGGGCGAAAGGTCAGAGAGGCTGAAGGAAGAGGGCGAAGAGACTAAGTCGTCGAGAACCTCGCACCTCGAACCTCCTCTCTTCGCAGCATTTCCACCCCTCCCCCGAGCCTATCCCCCCCCCCCTTCCTGTCGCTGTCCCTGGCATGTTCCCCCCTGGCCGCCCTCCATTCCCCGTGCCCCCGCCGGGGGGAGGCGCGGGGGACGCGGGCCCCCATCGTTGCCCCCCCCCCACACCCCACCCCGCGCACCCCTCCCCGTCTGGAGGAGCGAGGAACTACGCACGCAAACCTCCAAAAGGTTTCGGAGGTCCGCGCGGACTCCTTGGATCTGCGCTCGGCCCTCCTCCGCTGGCGCGCGGCGCCTCCGCTGGGCCCCCCTGGCGGCGGCTGCGGCGCCGCCAGGGCGGAGGGCCGGGGGTTGCAACGCATCGCCGATGTATCGGCGATGCATCGGCGACGTCGGCGTGGAGAGAGTCGGGCTCCACATCGCGCCGCATCGCCGATGCATCGGCGATGCTGCGCGATCCTCCGACCCCATCTGCTCCGACCCCATCTGGGAGGCCTACGCAGGGGACCCAGCGCCAGAGCTCCAAAAGTGTATGTTCGTACAGTGCTTTCTTCTTCGACTATCGTTGTCACCCCTTCTGTGGCAACTCATGGGAGCCTCCGATGCCAGCTTGCTGGCACTCGCGAATCGACGCTAATTGACGCTCGTCGACGCTAATCGACGCTGAAATTGATGCTAATCGGTGCTAAATCGGCGCCTTCTCATCGATTGCCACTCGCCAGCGCACGCTAGTGCACCCCAGAGACGGAATTGCGAGGACACACATAGCTCCGATGAGTTGCTAATTACCGAAACTGCCCCTGACCCCTGCCCACGACCCCTGCCCCTTGGACGCCCGAAGTGGGTACGCAAAACATGGGTCTAATGCCCAACAACAGATGTTGTCAAAAAGTGGCAGTGGCCGCTGTTCGGCAGGCAAGCTTGCATCTCAAGTGGACGACGACCGCGGCGACGCCGACAGCGAATCTGGTTCAGAATGAGGGGCAACGATAGAGGGGACTGGCATACGGGGAGATGCATCGACTTAGAATCGGAGATGCATTGTCGATATATCGGCGATGCGCCCCCGATAACGAATCCGCACCTTCCTGGGCGGGGTGAGGTTATTAGACCCCTATCGGCGATCAATGGTCGATTGGGGGGTCGATGCATCTCCTCTGTGCCCATCCCCCCCACTTTCGCTGCCCCTGACAGAAGGAACAGGGAGAAGAGCTGCTGCGGGACTTTGTGCCCGTGGCTTCCGTATCCCTTTCGCTCCCCCCGATGCCCCACCCCAGCCAGCGCGGCCGCGGCCGCGAGGCCCCGCCGCCGGCGCGGCCTTGCCGTGGCCCCGGGGCCCAGCGCGGCGACCATTGGCCTCCCCCCCGCGAGGCGGCCGCGGCGCAATGCCCCCCGGGGGCGCGGCGTGCGCGGGCCCGGGAGGCTGCGCGGTGCGCGGCCGCAGACGCCACGGGGGCGGGGGCGTGCGCGGGGAGCGGAGGATTAAAGAACAGGCAGATGTCGAAGTATGTCCAGCACGGGCAGCCATCATCTTGTAGGTCAGACATCGCTTATCACGCAACCACCACGCCCTCCCCTGAGGAACAGAGCGCTGTGCAAGCACCAGGTTTTGGAGCTCCGCGCGGGTTTCTCGGATCAGCTCTGGGTCCCCCTGGCGGCGCCCCTGGCGCGCGCTTCGCGCGCCAAGGAGGGGGGGCCAGCGCCAATCCGAGAAACCCGCGCGGATCTCAAAAAGTTGTGGCGACATGCGAACCCCACCCCAATCTACCATCGTTTCTCCTGAATCGATGGGATGCGGGGGTAGGGTTCGGATTTCCCCACGTGCTCGACGAACTCCGCACCCTACTCACCGCCCATCGAGTTGCCTGAATCGTTGATCGGCGAAGGTAGGGTTCGGATTCCGCCGCCGAGGTGTGCCGGAAGGCTGCGCTGTGCGCGCGGTGCGCCGGGAGGCTGGGCGCTGTGCGCGCGGGGGCGCGCGTCGGCCTCCGCACTAGACGAGCAGAAGGAGAATCCAACTGCGGAAACTTTTTTTCCGTCGGCGGCGAGCCAGAGGCAATCCGCTCCAGCGTGTGGCAATTCGGGGCAGCCGAGTGGCTATTTGGCCGGCATGCAAGAGAGGGACAAAGACTGAGCATTTTCTGAGGGTGGAGGGCTCAGGGTGAAATCCATATGGGCTTCTTGCACCTCGAGAATATAATTCCGTCTTGGGCTCTCCTTCGGCATATTCAAGCCTCGAAAATCCATGGAAACAGCATTTCAGATTTCACCCTTTGCCCTCCACCCAGAGAAAATGCTCGGAAAGACGAGGACGGCCGCGCGGGGGGGAGGCCAACTGCAGGGGCACGAAAAGCCGTCGGAGGTTCGCGCGGACTCCTTCGATCGGCCTGGCGGCGCCTCCACCGCCGCCCTCGGCGCGCCAGGGAGGAGGGCCCAGCACCGATCCAGTAAATCCGCGCGAGCTCCCACAAAGAAGATTGTTTATGAAAAGAATGTCTTCTTCTTCGTCTTCAGGCTTCTCTTCTTCTTATTATTATGATTCTTCTTTTTCGGTCACAGTTTGGTCGCTATTCCCCACATCCAAAGTGGGGTTCTTGTTTTCTCTGCACACCCCCGCGCAGGAGAGAGATCTCACTCACCCCCTCTTCTCCTCGCACTCATTCACACACACATCATCATCACTCGCACTCTCTCACACGCTCACGAACATCATCGTCATCATCGGTATCGGCATCATCCTCATTCAAACATCATCATCGCCACCACCACCCACAATCAATCATCATCCTCTTCACCACTCATCTTCACCACCACTCATCATCCTCATCCTCATCATCGTTGAGTAAAGTGTGAGGAAGTCTCAGGCGGGAGCCCCCTCCCTATGGGGCCCGCAGATCATGTTGGTAATCCGAGCGGGTCATCGGAACCCTGTAACTGTCGTCACTTTTGGGCTCCCCAGGCCTGAAAATGGAGGAAGTCTCAGGCGGGAGCCTCGTCTGTGAGTGAATTGGGAGGAAGTCTCAGGCGGGAGCTCCCTCCCTATGGGGCCCGCAGATTATGTTGGTAATCCGAGCGGGTCATCGGAACCCTGTAACTGTCGTCACTTTTGGGCTCCTCAAGCCTGAATATGGAGGAAGTCTCAGGCGGGAGCCTCGTCTGTGAGTGAATTCTGAGGAAGGCTCAAGCGGGAGCCCCCTCCCTATGGGGCCCGCAGATCATGTTGGTAATCCGAGCGGGTCATCGGAACCCTGTAACTGTCGTCACTTTTGGGCTCGTCAAGCCTGAATTTGGAGGAAGTCTCTGGCGGGAGCCTCGTCTTTGAGTGAATTGTGAAGAAGTCTCAGGCGGGAGCCCCCTCCCTATGGGGCCCGCAGATCATGTTGGTAATCCGAGCGGGTCATCGGAACCCTGTAACTGTCGTCACTTTTGGGCTCCTCAAGCCTGAATATGGAGGAAGTCTCAGGCGGGAGCCTCGTCTGTGAGTGAATTGTGAGGAAGTCTCAGGCGGGAGCCCCCTCCCTATGGGGCCCGCAGATCACGTTGGTAATCCGAGCGGGTCATCGGAACCCTGTAACTGTCGTCACTTTTGGGCTCGTCAAGCCTGAATTTGGAGGAAGTCTCTGGCGGGAGCCTCGTCTTTGAGTGAATTGTGAAGAAGTCTCAGGCGGGAGCCCCCTCCCTATGGGGCCCGCAGATCATGTTGGTAATCCGAGCGGGTCATCGGAACCCTGTAACTGTCGTCACTTTTGGGCTCCTCAAGCCTGAATATGGAGGAAGTCTCAGGCGGGAGCCTCGTCTGTGAGTGAACTGCGAGGAAGTCTCAGGCGGGAGCCCCCTCCCTATGGGGCCCGCAGATCATGTTGGTAATCCGAGCAGGTCATCCAAAACCTGTAACTGTCGTCAATGTTGGGTTCTCGCGCTGCCAGAACGCAGTTCCCAGGCCACACTTTGGATGCAACAAGGAAGTTTTTGGGCTCCTCAGGTCGCCGAGGTGCTGCGACAGGGCGCCGAAGGCGCCGACGACGACGGCCAGGCCGAGGCGCGGGCGCGGAGCTTGCTGATGTTCAGGCCCAGCGAAAGGGAGTTCACATGGCAGAGCTCGGGGGCGCACAGCGTGCGCCGCTCGGGGTTCACCCTGACGCACGCGTCCTACCTGACCTCCACGCTGTCGCAGGGCCAGACGCTGCGCAAGGGCGTCACCATCGACTGCGCGAGAGACGAGGACGCTGGCCGCACGGGCATGTCGGACGAGCAGTGGTGGCTGCACCTCTACGTCATGTTCTCCCGCGCCACGTGCATGCGGAACATGCTGATCCTGCGGCCGCCGCCGCGAGAGTTCCTGGAGTGCGGGCCGCCGGCGTCCCTGCGGAAGGCGCTCCTGGAGTTCGACAAGAGAACGGTTTTGTCCAGGGCGGAGGCGAAGCAGCTCGCGGCAGAGCTGGGCTTCGTGCTGCCTTCCGCCTGAGCGCGGCTGCGCCTCGCTCGAAGCCCGCGGGGTTGTCCCAACGGCTTGGTCTTGCGCGCCAACGGCTCGCGGGGTTGTCCCGACAGCCTGGCCCGCGGGGTTGTCCCAACGGCTGCGCGACGTGACCTGTAGAGAACGCGCCTGTGCTGGCCGTGGCGGCGACGGCGCCGAGGAACATCGACATGCGCGCTCATGCAACAGGAAGGGGAGGAGGTGGCGGGGCGCGGAACAAACAGGGGGGCGAGGATGGGGACAACGTAAGGAGTGGAAGGGGGGCCCGCGCCAAGGCGAGAGGAAATATACGCAGAAGAGACAGCCAGGACGCCTCACCAACCACGAGGACGACGGTGATGGCTTTTTCCAGATTCGCCCAGAGGATTCTTATGTGGGGTTCTTCCGTCGGAGTAATGATTCTTCTTTTTCGGTCACAGTTTGGTCGCGGGGGACCTCCACAGTGCAAACTCGAACCGGAGGACCTTTCCTATTCTCAGGGCCCCATCCCTCAAGGCCCCATCTTCGAACTCCCGACGCGCACGGCAACTTCGCGTCGTGTCGGCTGGAACGTTGGTTTGTGGACCCCGCAAAGACCGTTCGAACTGAAACGAGCCACCCCAACCTCACCCGAAGGCCTCAGTTTGCCCTCCATTTCCCGTGGGGGGGGGGCTCCGGAAACATCGAAAAAACACATCTGGAACCCACATCCCCCCCAACCCGAAACTCGGGTCTTCGGGTTGGGTTGGGGTGGTCTGGTATGCAGTCGTCGGCCGGGTCGGGGCCACTGGCAGCGTTCAACCTTGCACGCCCGCGCTCGGGTCGCCGCCGCGCCCACACGGCACGAACCCGCCGTGTCTGCCACTTCGCGCCCGGCCGACCAGCAAAGATGGTCGACCGCAGACCTCTCGTTACCCAACGGCATGCGGCGGTCTTCCGCGGTCTCTGGCCGCCTTCGGCGGTCATGGGTGGTCTTCCGCGCGAAACCACCCGCAGAGAAGGGCCACGGGGAGGCTAAGAGTTCATGCAGGAACCCACGCGGATAAACGCAGAAAAAAGACCATGTGCGGAGCGGTGAGAAACAGCCGTGCAGGGCGGACTGGAAGGGCGAAGAGGGGAGGTCGCAGCCTGTGGCCAGGTGCTGAGGGGGTGACGGGATGGGAGGGGCAGGTCGAGGGGCAGGGGTACGTACTCCACCGAGTGCTGCATGAGAACACGACTGAGGTACACACGCTGCTCGGTCGGCCGTGCACATGGAGAGCGGCGTGCGCTGAGATCATTAGCGCACTGGACGTTGAGCTGCTCGAGCATCCTCGAGAGAATCCAACGGGGGCGGTCCCCAAGATGCGTCAGTGAAAACCCAGTCGTGTGGTTGAAGGCCGAGCAAGTCGGCATGGCTGCCGCCACTACGAGGCAAACGAGAGAAGCCAAGACCCCGCCCACGTCTGCAGGAGAGAGCAGTCCGCACTACCACCAAACAGGCTGGGCAAGTATACCCTGACACATCGAAATGCACGAGGCAATGAGGATAGATTCGACCATGAATCCCAACAATCCTCTGGGCGGAAACGGTTTGGAGAACTTCCAAGTTCAATCTCCGTATTCCTTTTGGAGAAGGGTCTATCACGATTCCTTATTTGCCAGCGTGGACCCCAAACAGTGACCTGTTGCACTGCGGCTGACCAAGCGCTATGAGTTGCGAGCTTCATTGTGCAAGCTACGCGGTGCAAACAACGGTTGTGACATTTCTGTGGTGTAAGATATGATGTACAAGCTATGATGTACACGCCGTGCAATGTAAACGTAGTGCAAGCTATGCAGTACACGCTACGTTATGTGAGCAATATGGTGTAACTTACTTGGTACAAGCCACGTGGTGCAGTGCAACCTGTGTGGT